CTTTTTTTTAAGTGAAAGCAAAGCAAACGTATTAGAACAACAGAGTACAGAAAAATGTCTGCTCCATAAACAGGGCAGGGTACCCCACAGGCAGGGTACCTGGAAAATACTCTGTTTTTTGTTGTTGTTTTTGAGACAGAGTCTCACTCTGTTGCCCAGGCTGGAGTGCAGTGGCATGATCTTGGCCCACTGCTACCTGTATCCTGGGTTCGAGCAATTCTCATGCCTCAGTCTCCCGTGTAGCTGAGATTACAGCCACCCACCACCAAGCCCGGCTAAATTTTGTACTTTTAGGAGAGACAGGGTTTCACTATGTTGGCCAGGCTGTCTCAAACCTCTGACCCCAAGTGATCTGCCCTCCTCACCTGAGGTCAGGAGTTCAAGACCAGCCTGGCCAACATGGTGAAACCTCATCTCTACTAAGAATACAAAAAATTAGCCAGGCGTGGTGGTGGGCGCCTGTAATCCCAGCTACTAGGGAGGCTAAGGCAGCAGAACCACTTGAACCCAGGAGACAGAGGTCGCAGTGAGCCAAGATCGTGCCACTGCACTACAGCCTGGACAACAGAGTGAGACTCTGTCTTTAAATAAATAAATAAAATAAAGATACTCCTCTATTTTAATTATTGTAATTATTCCCTATTCCACGTCTATTGATGTCTTTTTCCTTCTTTGTTCATTTAATAGTGTTGATACCACCTTGCATTCCTAGAATAAATCTCAAAGTTTATTATTCTTTTGCAGTATGACTAGATTTCTTTTACTAGTATTTTATTTAGAAAATTTCATTAATTCAGTAAATGAAACTGACATTATTTTTTCTATATTTAATGTCAGGTTTTAATATTATATTTCCACTAAACTCACATAATGAATTGTTGGAGCATTCTATAGAACGCTATGGATTGAATATCTGTCGCCTCCAAAAGTTATGTTGAAAGTTAATCTCCAGTGTGGCAGTATTGATAGGTGGGGCCTTTACAAGGTGATTAGGTCCATTCACAAAGTAATGAATTAATGGGCTATCATAGAAGTAGCATAAGTGGTTTTATAAGAGGATAGAGACCGGAGCTAGCACGCTCAGCCCCCTCACCAGGTGACCAGGTGATGCCCTGCACCACCTTGGGACTCTGCTGAGAGTCCCCAGCAGCAAGAAGGCCCTCACCAGTTGCGGCCCCTTTACCCTTGAACTTCTTAGCCTGCCATGGGCATCACCTGGGAAAGTGTTACAATGCAGAATCTCAGGCCCTATTCCAGACCTACATAATCAGAATATCCATCATTAACAAGATCTCCAGGTAAATGGCATGCACAGTAAAATTGGAAAAGCTCTGACCTGAACGAGCTGGAAGTTTAAACTGGAATTATCTTTTATGTGTCATATAGAACTCAGCTATGAAGCCATTCAGTCATGGTAACTTTTTATACTTAAACTCTGCTAATTGGCATGTTTAAGTTTTCTATTTCTTGGGCTAATTTTGGCATTTTATATTTTTGCTAAGAAGTCATCTGTATCCCCTGGTTTTCACAATTTTGTTACTATGGAGTTGCATGCTTTTATTATTTTAATTTCTTCCATCAAGTGAGGATGGCTGGCTCTTCATTTTATATATTTTTGCTTTGCCTCATTTTTCTCATTATCAAGCTTTACAAAAGCCTTATATATTTTCCTGATCATTTCAAAGAACCAGCTTTTACAGCCAATTAGTATTAATTCTTCAAAGCGAAGAGGAGGGGGACATTACAATGTGAACCATTGTCATGGATGAATTCAGCTTTGCTTTCCATTAACATCAAAACCACGTACATATGCAAATCTGAACTTCCAGGGGCCAAAATATCATGAGAATGCAGGATTAATACCAACCTTTGATTCAGAATCGCGTTCTGAGTAGGGTCTACAGACCTCCACCTAAGTGGCCTTTCTACATACCTAATCACATTCTAAATGCCATCTATTGCCTCATTAAATAATGCTTTGTGCATTTGTGTCGTTTTACTGTTGATATACCTTTTCTACACACTATCTCATTTGAAATTTATATTTAAAATGGTCTAATAGATAATCCGTCACTAAGAGGAACACTGCCTCTAACCTGATTTTCATGTACTGAGATGAACTGGGGACCCAGGAATGCCTTGTTTCTCTAAAGGGCTGAAAGGGGCCACAGCAGAGTGTGCCTTGAGGAGAGCGCTAAGAAAGCAAGTATTCCCTCAGATAAAGCAAAAGGCACGAGTTAAAATTTCAGCCATGCCCCAGTGGAGAAAATGGCAGATTTCAGATACTCCCTCTAGACAGGCCAATTTTGTGAAATGCACTAGCTCTCCTCTCCCTTCCATTAAGAAACCAACGTTTTGTTTGCCCTTTTAAAAATGTATGAAAACCTATTACTTAGATACTTTCATTTCTTTGCAAATATTCTAATAAAAAAGGATTTCAAAAGCCAGATGATGGTTACGGTTTTGCACTCAAATTGATCCAAGTTTGGGATAATAACTGTAAAAATATAAAGTGTAGTTTATTGAATTTAGGATTTTCAGTTCACTGATAGACTAGTCTTAGGTTGATCATTATGGCGGAGTTATTAGAGATATTGCTGAAGCCCTCCACAAAGTTAATTTTAATCTTGTGCCACAGACCAGAGATTTCCGATCTATAATAATCTATTTCATAAGCACTCACAGAAGCAAGCACTTGAATAGTCTTCCTTTTGTGGTGTATTTAGGTCTTCTTTAAGTACCTAGACTAGAAACCATCTTAACCTCATATTCCTGGCAGTACTGTGTTTAGGACATTGTTAAACTCCAAAAAATAGTGCAGAGTACTGAAAAAGAAAATCATCCTGACTCCTTCCTATCTCAGAAGAGAACTGATCAGTTCACCTGCTTGATAATATTTTTCCTCTCTAATCAAAATGTTCCCCTCCTAAATCCCAGGATGGAAAATGAGTAAGACAGATAAAATGGTAAAATTAAATGAAATGACATCCATTGCATTTACAAGTTTTGAAAATAAAATACTAAATGACAGACCTTTTGACATTGAAGTCTTACACAGGCAGAACATTAATTACAAAACAAACATAACTAAAGTAAAATCTCAGTTTTTAAGATCTTGAATTCATTATTTATGCTTTTCAAGTTTTTCTTATGGGAATGGTTTAAATTTAAATCCAAAATATACCGTAATATCTCCTCCGACCTCAAGTCCTGGAAAGATAAGATACACTAATTTTTTTCTTCTTTTTTTTTTTTCAGTCCTGATGTTTACACAATACTCTTTGGAAAATCTTCCTTTCAAATGCCACTCAGAAATTCACTTTTTTTTTTTCATTTAGAGCACACAACTCCATGGCTGAGTAGTTGCTGTGGGCCTCAGCCCTCCGTCTGGTGGTAGAGGGGAGACAAACCAGAAATGTGAGCTTTACAGAAGAGGTTAATATAAATACCACAACGGATATTTCCTGGTTATTTCGGAAAAACTTAACTGTGAAAGGGCCTGTGAAAGGGCCAGGGAAGGCTTCCTGCAGGGCGCTGCGCCTAAGCAGATAGGCAGGCAGTGGATGAAATAGCTAAAATAAAGATGATAAGAGGGAAACAGGCAGAAGGGGTAGCTTGGGAAGAGACTGAGAGAAAACTACAAAGAATGTAGGTTACAAGTAAATTCTGTTACTAGAGCAAGGGGTTTACTGATGGGATGGTGAGGACCTTGTATAAGGAGTTTTGACATATCCCTTGACACATACTAATGTGCTACTTCCTAAAACAACCCTGAGTGGGTATTATTTTTCAGATGAAGGAAGAGGAATGGATTGAGTAATTTATGTCAGGTCACACATCTAGGAAATGGCAGAGCCAGGACTGGAATCCAAAACCAATGTCATATTCTTAACCTCCACACTACTTGGCAGCTACACGGAGGACAAATTTTATGGGGACAGAATTGGAGAAAAGATCTGGAATTTTACTGCAGTAGACTAGGCAAGACTTAACAAAGCCTCAATTAAAACGCTAGAGTATAAAATGGGGATCAGGTTATAGGCTCTGGACTTGAGATTCTCTGGGTTAAAATAAAAATTTTGCCTCAACAAACCTACCAGGAATGGCTGTAGAAAAGAAACTTTGGTGTACCTCAGTTTCCCCATCTGTAAACTAGAAATAGCAACATTACCTGACATTCTGGGTTTCTTAAACATTAAGAGAGACCATATACTTAACGTACACTTAGCCTAGTGGTCAGTAATGGGTGCTCAAAAAGTTAGCCATTATTAGAATGCTACAGATGACACAGACAGTAATGGTCTTATTATAAGTAAATTAGCGAGCCGGATGCGGTGACTCAGGCCTGTAATCCCAGCATTTTGGGAGGCTGAGGCAGGTGGATTCCCTGAGCTCAGGGGTTCGAAACCAGCCTGGGCAACACGGTGACACCCCATCTCTACTAAAATACAAAATATTAACCAGGCATGGCAGCGTATGCCTGTAATCCCAGCTACTCAGAAGGCTGAGACAGGAGAATCGCTTGAACCTGGGAGGTGGAGGTTGCAGTGAGCCAAGATCACGCCATTGTACTCCAGCGTGAGCAACAGTGAGACTCTGTCTCAAAAAAAAAAAAAAAAAAAAGAGTAAATTGGCAGAACTAGGGGACTGATTTGGGGCAAAGTGGAGAGGAGACAATGGAAAGGAGGCAGGGAAGACTAGCAGGTTTTTTGCTTGCCGGGTAGTTAACAAGGTAGATGGAGAGGGCACTGACTGAAGTAGAGAAGTTGCTTCATGGGAAACAGAGATGACGTCTTTTCGTTTCAGACAGTTTAAGGTGTTAACAGGACATCCAAACATAGATGCCCAGTAAGCACAAGAATATGAAACTCAGGGAAGTGGTTGAGGGGAGGTGGTGATAAAGTGTGTTAGAACAGTGGGCTAAGGATAGTAGTCCAAAAAATACAAACATTATTTTGGGTTAATATATAAAATGCAATGAAATTCAAATGACATGAAAATACAGAAAATGAAATTTAATACTGTGAGAATGAAGAATTACTTCTGATATTTAAATACTATGTTTCTACAGTTTAGAAAAATGAGGGTACTAAAGCACATTTTGATCCAATCAGGACAAATGCCCTCTACACAGTCAGATTGAGTCAAAGATTTTACAAGGGTATACTCAGAAAAGACCAAAGAAAATTTGATGTTATCTTTAACAAATAATGCAACATTTTCAAAAAGGCCATTTTTATAACACTTTTTAAAGCGTAATGAAAAACCTTGGCTCTCAAGATTGTCCCAAGAATCATCCCCAATAAAATGCAGTACATGTAAATGATCTGATGTCAGGGTGCTGACTGGTCAGGTTTATTCTATAAGTCATTTCCCCCTAATATCTACGATTTTGTTTTCACAGAATGGTAAAAATGTAACACAGGTCTGCCGTATCCATTCAGCAAAGTAGCATGAAGTGACTTGACTTGTCCTGTCACTTGTGGAACAAAGCCTTCTTTAAAAACTAAATGGGCTACTAGGATTTAACAGCATCCCACCATCCAACTCTAAATATGATAGATGAAGTAAGCAGCCACCAAATACAGCAATTCCGGCACTGAGTACCTTAGGGACCTGCAAACCTCCTACTTCTGTCCTCCACCGCCATATAGAATTTCAAGGTATCACTTTGGGGTGGGAGGTGATAAGGGGTATCAGTATTTATAGGGAGGGGATGCTATTGACATTTTTAGCAGCACAAGTTTTTTAGTGTGTGGACCTGTGTTCCCATCACAACTCAATGTTTCACATTCCAATTCTTGCCACCAACCCCTCCTCCAACCCCCAATCCAAAGAGTGCCTCCACTATCTAGAGACACAGAATATAAAATACTTGTGTCCCACCAATTATCACACATGCTAATTTCATTTCTAGAATGGTAAAAATGAAGCAAAGACTAGTATCTACTCACAAGCATAGAAAGTTTGACATTTTCTTTTTTCTGTCAACACATAGCTATTAACACCAAAGACTGGAATCCTGGATGGTCAGTTCCCTTTGGGCAGACCTAACCCAACCACTTTTGCAATTTTAAAAAAGTGTACATGAGATCATCAGGTGGACTCAGTAAAGCATATGACTGGCCCACCTCCAAACAGTAAAGACAAACACATCAAAAAGTGGCTGTGATTCTCAAAGGACAAAGCCCACTCCCATATCCCAGGAGAAAGTAGACCTGAGTCTTGTTTCACCTGCATAATTGGAGGCAGAAGAAAATAGGATGTGAATTCTGATGTGCTCTGCATCTGGTTCCACACCATCTTACAGTGAAAAGTGCTGAGTGACTGTAAACCCAACAGGAAAAAACATTGTGTCATCACTACAGAAGCAAACCCAGCAGGACCACTTCTGCATGCAGGCAATGTTAGGTCTCAGATGCTCCCTTTCTGCCTCCTGATAGAGTGGATGCAGGAGCTTTGGGGACATAACGATCCACACACGAAATGAAAGAAATGGCAGAGCACTCTCATTTTGGAAAGCTTCTCTCAGATAATATCCCATCACTGCCTATTAAGACTAAAGGATTTTTAAGTATTAATTTACACTCATAAGGGACTAATAAAATTTCCTGGCCTGTCACTTAAGGAGAAAAACCAGCAGACCAGACCTGAAGATAAACCCTCAGAGCTACTAATGCCTCATTCAGGACTCTTTCCCACAGATTAGAGCTGACATTATCACACAGCTTACACAGTAGAGAGGAAACGCATAGCGAGTACTCTTACCAAGTCTGGTAAATAAGAAATACCTAGATACTACTGTTTCTGTCAATGCCATAGATACCTCCCAGGACTCAGAGATGACACGTTAATTTTACTTCATCCCAACAATGAGCTTTGCAGAATCTCTGTCCCTGACGCAAAGCAGGAAGCAAATATTTGGGCAAAAAGATAAAGTCAGTTACAGATTTCACAAGTATATTGTACATCAGTCTGTAATTTTTAATTAGAATTAGCTAAAAAGACATTGTACCTTTCAAATGTATGACTGAGCACAACAATGCTTAACAGCGGCTTTATTAAGTGAATGCTTGAAAGTATTCAACATTAAATTCAATTTACTTCACATTAATGTTGCAAACACATCATCAATTCTTACATATTTCAAATCAACTTCAGGTACAGAAGGCTTGCTCTCAAATAAGTCTTCTAAGGTGACGTAAAGACTGAAAGAAGCCTATGACTTGAGTCCAAGTCTCTAACCAACCACCACCATATCATCACTGGTGAACTCATATGGGGGGACTTCAAGGTTGAGAGGAGCAGGGCCCAATCTGATCCTGCCAGATGCATCATAATGTGACCCATGGCAAGGGCAGTAAAAACCACCAAAATCTCCTGCATTTGCAATGGGTACACAACCAAGATGAGTGCAAACACCTATCAGGATAACCCATTCAGGCTTCTTTACTCGATCTAGATCATGCTGTGGGTCCCTCAACTGGGACAATTCAACTGCAGCTTCCTGCTCAATTTCCTTCTGGGTTCTATGACGCACAAACAGGGGTTTGCCTCTCCATTTGAAAGTCATGTTCTTGCCTTCTGGAATATCGGATAACTTGATTTCGATTTTCGCCATAGCCAACACATCAGCAGAAGCACTCATGGTGGAAATGAACTGGGTGACGACATTCTTGGCAGCATATGCAACACTCACAGTAGTTACTGCAGTTACCATATAGGAGAAACCTTTCCTAGCCTCGCTGCTCTCTCTGGAAGACTTAGTACTATCTAAAACTTCAAGGCGGCGGTAGTCATAGAAGTCAGGCACCTTGACGTCTGTGTGGGAATAACAAACAGAAGCAGGGACTGCAAGACAAGCAGAAGGTTAAAAAACACAATTAGATGAGTATCCTGAAAGGAGTATACATCAAGAAACAGTCTTTTATGGATCCACAGGTAAAAAATCAAATTCTAAAAATGTGAAACATGGCACTCACTGGGTCTCAGAACAAGTCAAATTGGCGGTGCTAGCATATAAAATCTCAAAAATGAAATGAAGTGAACCACTACCTATCAGATTGGTATGAAATCACAAGATACTATTTGTAAATTGAGCTACTCCTGGTTGGTTGAACATTGCTGATTCAGGATTCACAACATCTCAGTGCATCGCGCTAAAAACGTTAAACAGCAAAATAAACAGTAATACTTCAAAATTTCCAAAAATTCAACTGCCAAGACATGCTATATAAATCATGCTAAATACCTCCCATACTCTCTGGATTAGAAGGAGGCCCTAAAACTCATCTAGTCCACACAGTAAGTTGACGTGTGATCACCTTATTAATGCAAATGTCCGCCCCTTATAGTCCAATCTATATTCTCGGAAAAAAACTGTTAACAATCCATAAAACAATAATGACACAATAATAAACATCCTGTGAACTGTATAACTCTAGCTGCAGAAAAATTAAGGTTTCTATTTTATACTCTAGGGTATAAATAGTATTACTTTAACTTAAAACCACTAATAAGCAGAGAAAGACATCCTTATCAGAGCTCTCAAAATACAATGAAATCTGCAAAAGAACTAATTATTTCGATTTAGCGAGGGGAAAAAGGACAAAATTTTCATATCTCCCCCTATGCACTAAAGGGCAACAGTCACTGTAAAAGCAGGGGTATTATCTTTCCTTTTCACTGTTGCAGTTCTCTCAACTGGGGCACTTCTAGTGTAGGCCATAAAAGAGCCCAAATGAATGTTAAATAATTACTATGTAGTGCTCTGGGAGCAAGTAGTTTCTTTGGTAGTTTAAAAAACAAAAACACGACACAGTTACATCCTTCTCTCCCATACTATTTTTAAATACCTGACCAAAAAACTTTTTTAACTAGTACCACCTCTAAGTATGTATCAGGAAGCAAACCTCTTTGCAGATTGTACATTCATCTTAAGAAATTTGCCACAAAGTTTCCTTTTTAAAAAAGGGGACACTAAAAATTCCTCTTTTAGAAAACGTGTTTCCAAAACAAAGATTTCTTTTAAGATGCATTTTTATCGTAATAAACTGCAATTCTACCTTCTTCTACTAGGATATCTTCCTAATATACTGTACTTCCTTGAGTAGTCAAACATTACAATACGGAATACTTGAACTGCTTTTCACATGATTCTCAAGTCAATAACTTTATGGAAGCCAGAAGTATTCACAAACAATAGTGAAACCTATCAAAATCACTCTATATGCTTTTCTGACTAACTCAATCATTTCCTGAAGACCAGGACACAGATAATGGCAACTTGAGATTCACATCCCAGAATCTGTGGAGTCAAAGTGACATTACATCCTATACTACTACTCTTAACAAATAAATGCTAACCTGCCAGTATACACTGACATTTGGAATTAAGCATAAATTACTTGCTCCTAGCTCTACCTGAGATTACAGAAAAGATGTGTTTCCTACCTAAGAGATAAAGGAATCAAAAGTTCATACTTCTACCTTAAAAACAGTATCCACAATCCTTAACACTATTCAAGGAAATGTATAAGAAAATACAATAAAATGGCTTTGCACTTCTCATTCAGAGATTAGGTGGCAAAAGTCTCCTCCCACTCTACCTACCTGGTTACACTTTAGTAGGCTACACCACCAAGAATCCTTTCAGAAATTAAATTGCCCTATTGCATAAATCATTCTCCAAATACTTACATGAGCTGCATTAGCTCTGCCTTTTAGTAAGATGCTAGATTTAATTCTAACCTAAAGCAAAATCAAACACTTAAAGGATAAAATTTAAGGAATTTTAACAAAACAAGTTTTATTTTAAGGTGAGCTCCAATGCGCCTTGGAAATCTGCAAGAAAATAGTACAACCTTCCTCTCCAACTCAACAATCTTCTCCAGATCCAACCCCTCCCCTTCCATTAACCATCTTTCCATAAACCTAGACAGGTTATAACGTGAACTTAAATTACAGGCTGAAATGATTACAGAAAAGGTTTTTGCCTCATGGTCCTACATTATTTGCCTGTTTCTAAAAAAAATTTCTTAAGTCAGGTGAGCCTCCAATTTTTTGAAGAAACTCTAGCAATACGACAAATTCCAAAGATGCTTTTCTGTTGCTATTGAAATGTTCTCCTTCCTTCCTTCTCACCTCCAGGTCCCAAGGATGGGCTAGGGTACTCTACACCCGCCATGGACAGTTTTTTCAAAACCCATTGGTGCCCCTTAACATTCATTCATTCACAAATACTTTGCACTAACTGTATACGAAATCCGACGCTGTGAAAGATAGAAAAATAAAGAAGACATTACCTTTTCTATGCCCTTAAGCCCAAGGTTGGAGGAGTTACCAATAAACACAATACAGAGTGTAAAGTGTATGTGCTATAAAGACAGACAAATCAGCAAATAAAAACTTTATTCACCTGATCCTTACCTGAAATTGAAAAGATGGGTAAGGAAAACATGTGGACATGTAGCAACTTAGTGGAAGGACCATGGAGAAAGTGCAGAGCCCAGGGTGAGTGAAGGCAGAGTAAAAAGAAAAGTGTCCGGCAATTTGGTTAGCTCGTAGGGGAAGAGTCACACACAGCTATCAATGGAGCCAGGCTGGTAACACAATGAAACACGCAGACCTGGTAAAGACTGTGGCAAACTGAAGAAGACCACTTGTTCCAACTGTGGGGACGGCCACTACACAGCACACTACGGACTTTTCCCAAGTAGAAACTAGATCCCAGTATTGCCAGCTTCCAGCATTTTAAGAGATGGCGTTAGTCTTTACAGTTTTTCTGAAAACTACAAAGCCTGCAGGCATACTGCCCACAGGCTGCCATTTCTCTATCTCCGATACCGGGCCAAGTAAAGATGGAAGGCGAGGCAAAGAAGATAAACCGGGATCTAAGGACAGAGGGTGTAGAACAGCCCCTGCGAAGAGCTCAGTGGCTACGACAATCCGTCTTGTCAAATCCCTGCTACCACATGTCCACACCACGGATCCTGGTGCGAGTTAGTCTACCTCATCTGTTTTCTCATCTGTAAAATGTAAAAGTCATCAATCTCTGCCCGTTCTTGAGGACTGATTATGTTGTGACACTACACTGTAACTGACCTTGTGTATGTCTTTTTTTTTTTTTTTTTCGTGGGGGGGGGTGTGAAGGGGAAGGACACTGAAGGGGTCGGTAGTGGTGAGAAGACCAACTTCCCAATAATTAGTAAGTTTCCACTTCTTAAGCATGTAAGTGCCCAAACTGTGCTAATGGCTTTACGTAGAATTCCTCCATCTAAGCCTCACGACACCCCTACAAAATTGGTAAAGATATGAATCCATTTCACAGGAAGTACGTTTAGAAACTTGCCCAAGGTCAAACGACCTGCAAGCAACAAAACCCCTCAGAGGTGGCTGGAGCAGCGGGACTTCAGAGCTCGTGAACTCGGCCGAGGAGGAACCCGGTGGAGCCGGCGGACGCGAGTCCAGGCCGGCCCCCGAAAGACAACCCGGGCCCGGGTGCCATGCCCAGCGTCGCGGAGGCCGCCCAGCCCGACCTGATTCAGGCTCCGCTCGTGCACCCGCGGCCGCTCCCTGCTGGGGGCCAGAGGAGCGGGCACCGAGAGACCCTCAGCCCCGCTTGTGGCCCTCGCCCCGGCTCACCATTGAGGCCCACGGAGGCGACCAAAGGCCGGCGCACGGCCTGGCCGCTCAGCGACTCCCGGCTGAGGAAGGGCCGCTTCAGGTCCAGCACAGGCGGCTTCGGGGTGGCGGGCACCGTGGCCTGCACCAAGGGCCGCAGCGCGCCCGCCACCCCGCGGGACGTGGCCGACAGGACGGGCGCGAACGGTCCCGAGCGGGCTGCGACCGACAACATGGCGACAGCTGCTCCAACCGCCAAGCCGGTCACAGGGACGACCTTCCAACCACGGCGCAGGCGCGAAGAGGAGCGGAACGCGTGGCGTCAGCGCGCCGCCGGAAAGTAAGTCCTGCAGGGCGGGGCAAACCTGGAGAGGCGCTGCGTCAGGGGACGCGGCTACAAGCCCTCGCTGGGGGCGGGGCTTGCGGCCCACCTGTCAGTCCCGGTGCCACTTGGTCTGTGTCCGGAGAGATGCCCAGAAGAAAGAGACGGCTGAACAGGGGACTCCAGTGACGTCCGATGGGCCGACTTTACGATCCTTTAGAGTAAAAATGTCATCCAGGAAGACCTAAAGATAACAATAAACGATTATAGTTTAACTTAGGATGGTACTATATCTCAACTAGGACAAAGTCCGGCACATAGTAATCGCTATGTTTTTACTATGATGATTATTATTATCTTCGTCTAACAGCAACAACAAAAAAAAGGCCAGAGGCATCTGTGCAAAACTCGGTAATGCTAATGGATTATGTTTATTAAGCATTCGCTGTGTATTTGGTTTTGTGTTTTATTATACCTACCTTCTTTCATTTGTTATCAAGGTCTCTATGAAGTCAGAGCTATTAGTATCAGCATTTTGCCCATGAAGAAACCGCGGTGTAGAGAGATTCTTTTCCCGGAACTGGATAACCAGCAAAATGTGAAGCAGGGTAATCTGTCTCCTGAGTCTGGGCTCTTCAGTGACACCACTGTTTCCCCAAGTAAGATTTTAGAATTTTAGAGGATGCAGAGTTGGCTCATTCACCTTCCATCACATCGTGAGAACGTTTTTGTTTTGTTTTGTTTTGTTTTTCTCTTTCAATCCTGATTGCACCAATGAGAAAGTCTCAGTTTGGTACTAATACATCTTTAATTAAAACACACACACACACACACACACACACACACAGGTACAGATGGGGTCTCACTATATTGCCTAGTCCAGTCTCAAACTCCTGGCCTCAAGGAATCCTGTCTCCGCCTCCCAAAGTACTGGGATTATAGGCATGAGCCAATGCACTTGGCCTCAGTTTGATCCTAATATATCTTTAATTCCTCTCTACACTTATCTCCCACTTTTAACAGAAAAGATCTTGAATTAGAAGCTCTTATCAGACAACTGAGTCTAGAGTGATTTCGTTGTATGGTTCATAGTATTGATTTTCTTTCCATACTGGTTTTCTATTCTGTACTATACTGAGATAAAGTTTTTCATTTATTTAGGTCAAAAATGATTTAAATATTAAGTAAATGTTAATATAAGCAGTGCACAGAATTGGCTCTGTGCTGTGCATGGGCTCTGTGATCTGGGCAAGTTCCTTCACCGCTCTGTGCCTCAGTTTCCTCGCCTGCCAAAAGGGGGCAGTAATGATGCCATGTGTGTTGTAAAGTTACTGGGAGGAGTAAATGTACTGAAATGTGTAAAGCACCTACAAGCAGGCCCAGCACACAGGCAGCACCAAGTGAGGATTTGCTGGTGGTGTTTTTATCTGAAATGCCACCTCCTCTAAGAAGCCTTCCCTTGATCCTTGCTGACTCACTGTTATTCCTCACGCCATGTCCAAAGTGTACTGACAGTTTTCCCCTTTGACCTTCCTATGACTCCTCTTAAGGCCTGGGCTTTTCCTAGCCTTATAGCCCAAGGGACTATATTGTACTCTCAAGACTGGGGGCTGCCTCCTCAGGGGCCACCCTGGCCAGGCTCATCACACAGCTGGCTCAGTGCTCTCCCCTGGCAACAACCTTAGGATAAAAGACATTTCCAGAGAAGTTGTCACACACCATGCATGGTTTGAGTGCTTCACATGAAATAATATCGCAACTGTCCTCTGAGTTGGTAAGAGTAAATGAAAAATGAATGAATGAACGAGTGAATGAATGAATGAAGGAGTCTTCACAAAACCTTCACAATGTCCCAGTTGGGTGAACAGAATAGGAATTATCTCCAGACTTCCTGCGTTCAATTTTAGTTTCACCACTCACTAGCTGTGCCCTAGGGCAAGTTATTTAATCTCTGTGTGTGCCTCTCAGTCTTTCTCTTGTAAAACAGAGATAATAACAGGGTCTACCCTAGAGAGTTATTTTAAGGATGAAATGGATTAATATATGTAAAATGCCTAGAACTGTGCCTGGCACACCGTATGTAAATATCCATAATAATAATAACTTTCTATTTTCTAGATGAAGAAACTAAGACTCAGAGAAGACAAAGGACCTGCCCAAAGACACATTGATAAGCACCCATCTGGTAGTGGTTCTAGTCCAGTGTTGCAGCAGAGAGAAGGGTAATCGTATAGTAGAACATCTGTCCTCTTGTGGAAGAAGGAGGGCAACGTCCAGGAGTGGCAGGCATACTGGAACTTGGACTTCTGTAGGCCAGCCTGGGTTCCACTTGGTAGATGAGGGTCTTGCTGTGTTGCCCAGGCTGGTCTCAAACTCCTGGCCTCAAGCAATCCTCCTACCTTACTTAGCCTCCAGAGTAGCTGGGACTACAGGTGCACACCACTGCAACTCCTCGGTGGTTGTTATTTAACTGAAGAGGGTTTTAGCTTTCATGTATCAGCTCACTCTGGAGCCAGACAGCCTGACTTTCATGCCAGCTCTGCCCCTTACTACCTGTGTGATGTCGGGCAACATTACTGAGTGTCAGATTTCTTATTTGTAAAAAACAGAGATAAAAATGAGATTGTTGTGCAAATTAAAATAAAGAATCCATGTGAAATATTTAGCACACTGGCATACAACGAGAGCTTAACAAACATTGTTAGTTTTGTAAACTGAGGGGAAAAAATAGCCACAGGCCTGGGAACATAAATGCTTGGTAAGCTTCTCAGTTCTCTGGAAGTCTGACAAGCAATGCGTATGTATGAACAAGGCAGGAGGAAGCACGACGCCAAGCCTTCCTTTTAACAAATACTGTTTAAATCAGAGGTCAGAAGTCATGGACTGGAGATTCACTCTCTCCCCACTCATTTCTGCCCAGAGACACCTGGTGATCTGGCATACACAGTGCTATGAACCTCAGAATTATTTGCTAGCATTTACAAATTGTGAGTATTCCCACATACAAACTATGGTAGATGGACTAATGCCTCGCCACAAAAATGTCCACAGCCTAATCCCTGGAACCTAGGAGTATGTTACTTTACATGGCAAAGGAATGTTGTAGCTGTGATTGGAGATTGAGATAGGGAGAGTGTATTAGTCCTTGTCATGCAGCTATGAAGAAATACCTGAGACTGGGTAATTTACAAAGAAAAGAGGTTTAATTTGTAAATTACAGCTCACAGCTGAGCACGGCAGGTTGGGGACACCCTCAGGAAATTTACAATCATGGTAGGAGGGACCTCTTCACAGGGTGGCAGGAGAGAGAATAAGAGCCCAGCGAAGGGGGAAACCCCTTATAAAACTATCAGATCTCATGATAACTCACTATCATGAGAACAACATGGGGGAAACTGCCCCCATGATCCATCACCTCCACCTGGTCCCGCCTTGGTTACAATTCAAGGGGATTGTAACAATTCAAGATGAGATCTGGGTGGGGACACAGAGCCAAACCATATCAGAGAGTCTTCCTGCACTGTCCGGGTGGGTGCAGCGTGTTCATAGGGTCTTAGAGGAGGGAAGCAAGAGGTGAGAGGACAGAAATGCCACACTGCTGGCTTTGAGGGTGGAGCCAGAGGAGGGGCCTGCAGGCAGAGGTGGAGCTGGAAATGGAAAGGAAACAGTCTCCCTTAGAGTCTCTAGAAGAAGTGCAGCCCTACAGACCTGTGTTAGGCTTCAGACCTCCAGAATTGTAAAATAATAAAATTGCATTATTTTAAGCCACTCGAGGCCCGTGTCCTCAACATAGAGAAAGACAGTGGGGTGCTGTCAGTCAGGGTAGGTACCTGCTTGGTGGTCTAGGTCCTTTCCCACTGCGTCCATTCAGTTCCGTTACCTGCCCATCTGCTGAGGCCTTGAGTTTGGGACCTCAGGTTTATATGATTCCTTGCACAAGCATGATCGATTGATTCCGGAGAGTGACAGAGCAGAATACCGATACGCAGGGGAATCTCCTAGTGTGAATTGTAGTCTAGATACTTCCTGTTCCCTACAGTCTTTTTGTTTGTTTGTTTGTTTTTTGAGACGAAGTTTTGCTCTGTTGCCCAGGCTGGAGTGCAGTGGTGTGATCTCAGCTCACTGCAACCTCTGCCTCCTGGGTTCAAGCAATTTTGCCTCAGCCTCCCGAGTAGCTGGGATCACAGGCACGTTCCACCACGCCCAGCTAATTTTTGTATTTTTAGTAGAGATGGGGTTTTGCCATGCTGGCCAGGCTGATCCCAAACTCTTGACCTCACGTGATCCGCCCGCCACAGCTTCCCAAAGTGCTGGGATTACAGGTGCGAACCACCGTGCCCAGCCCTCTTCCCTAGTCTTAATGTGTTCATCTGGGCAATGTGTGTAGGGGGTGCGGATAGGGAGGGGAGCTCTAAGGTGAATGTGCTAGGATTCTGCATTTGTCATCCTCAAAACAAATTTATCACTGGGTAATTCTGCCTATGATCCTGCATAATGTGCAAAGCCAGTAAGATGCCTTTGCCTCGTCCCCAGGGAGCATGCCTCCCAGCCACTTGCCCACACAGAAAGGCAGCCACCTCCCTGCTGAAAGGATCCCACGCCTATCTCCTGTTTCCACACAATTACCCCGGGAAATGCCTGGCTTCCCATTTCCAGTTGCAGCCATCGTGACAGTTTCAGCCTCTCCCCTCAGCCCACGTCCTTCGCTTGAGCAGCGAGATGTGAAGATGGACAGCCGCTTGAGAACTGCACAGACTGTCCTTAATCTAAGCCATTTAAAAGGCATTTGTGTTCCATAAAACCCGTTTCCGTAATTCTGTGCCCCTACTTCTTTGAAACATGGTAACCCTAGGGAGGAGAAGAAATTAGCCAGGGGGGAGAAGTTCAGATGTGCTAATATTTTAATCGCTCATTCTTTCATCACGTTAGTCACATTCATTAAGTATGATTAATTTCAGGCTTTGTTGAAAACCCTATCAGTTTCCCTATCAGCCACACATCCATCTCTTGCCAAGCAGGCTGCTGCAGTAGCACCAAAAGTCCCCCAATGTTTTTTACACCTGGATTGTATTATGTGCCCCCTGAAAATTTGTGGAATTCATTGAACTCATTTGTTTCAAATACTTTGCAAGAGCCTGGGCTCTTGAGTCAGGCAGCCTAAGTGTGATCCCAAGTCCTCCAATTGCTGGAGTCACTTGGGCAAGTGACTGATGCCCTCTGAGCCCTGGTGTCCTCGTCTGAGGATGGAGATAAGAATACCTATCTCAAAGGTTGGTTGTGAAGATGAAAGAAGGCTTTCAAATTGCTAAGTTAGTTGGTTGTGATTGTAATTAAGGGCCCTTGGAGATGGATCATTCATCCAGTCAGAAGATTTGTGTACAGTGACTATATGCAACGCTGTGTGTCCACTACTGATGAAAGAGATAGCCGCGAGCACAGCAGTCAAATGTGTGTGGCCCCCAGGACCTTATATTTTACTTGCGGAAGCTAGACAACCACCAAACATGTAATATACGAGATGGTGGTACGTTCTATGGAGGAAAGAAAGGACGAGGGGCAGGGAGTCCTGGGCTGGTGGGACAGAGTGCTATGGCTCAGAGGGAACTCAGAGAGAACCTAATTCAGGCCCTGACCTGGAGGGCTCATGCTTTGCACACTGTGCTAAGAATGTGGACTTTCTTTCTCCAAGAATAAGGACAACGAGAGCCAGCAAGCGGGGAAGTAGAGCAAGGATGATGCCATCCGGCTGCTCACCTGCTGGCTAGAACTCCCGGAGGACACTGTGAGGATACGGGTAGAAGGTGTGTAAGCGTGTGACTGCATGGAAGCCCTTGGCATGTAATCCACTCCGTGTTCCAAATTGCCATCCTTTCTGTGTGCTGTTAGGGACTTCCCCCGGCTCTCCCTGCAGAGTGAGGAGTACTCTGAGAGAGACAGGTCTAGGATGAATTGTTTTGATGGAGAATTGAACATTTTTTGGAGGGAAGGAAGATTTCGGGGGGGGCGGGAGATAAATTGAAGGGGTATGGCTCTGAAAGTCCTTGGACAGTTTGTAGAGGACAGAGAAGGTGGTAATGTCAGTTTCTGCTCCCCTCCCACCTCCGCCTCTGTCCTTCTCAGTGGTCCCACGGCTCCCTACCTTCAGTCATCTTGTTCTCAAGCCTGAAGTGCTGGATCCACTCAGCTGCCACCCAGCTCAACACCTCTGTGGAAGCTTTGCCCATCACTCAGGAGAAGCCGAGATCCAGAGACTGATGCCCACGTTCTGTCTTTGCAGAGGGAAGCCCACCAGAGCCCTCTTCTCCCTGGGGAGGAACTGGCTCCCTGAGTCTCCAAGACAACCCCAGACAGCCCTGGGGACCTTGAATGTGAGCAAGGGGAGCAGGAAGGAGACTCCAGCCCACCCAGAGCCCCTGCAGGGTCTGCACACACAATTACAGGTCCTCATTTCCCTCTCCTAATGATGCCCCAAAACATTAAGGGAAGTTAAATCAAACCACCAGGTGTCCAGCATGAACAGTTGAAATAATAAATTCACAAAGAAAGTAAGACATTTTATTTGTGCTGTTTCAAAATTGGTAGATGCAGGAAAGCAAATTGTGATGTGCTTGGGATTTAATTTGTATTTCAAGGTACTAATGAAGGCAGCACCCATGTACCCAAAGGCCTTTTCATCCCTGAATCTTGAGAGCACTTTTCTAAGCATGCTGGGAATAAATTAAGTTGCAAAACCTCCATGAAAAAGATTACAGTTAAAACATAATTTTGAGGAACCACTTGAGTTTATCCATTTACCTGCTTTTAAGTACACACACCTATTTTTTTACAATTATTTTTCACAAAAGAAGGAACTTTGTGTGACGTATACAACCAGGTGATGGCAAACCTCCAGCATCTTTAAAATAAAACTCAAGTTGGGCTGGGCAGGATATCGCATGCCTGTAATTCCAGCACTTTGGGAGACCACGGCTGGTGGATCACCTGAGGTCAGGATCTCAAGACTAGACTGACCAACATGGTGAAACCTTGTCTCTACTAAAAATACAAAAAATTAGCTGGGCATGGTGGCGGGTGCCTGTAATCCCAGCTACTTGGGAGGCTGAGGCAGGAGAATCACTTGAACCCAGGAGGTGGAGGTTTCAGTGAGCCAAGATCGCACCATTGCACTCCAGCCTGGGCAGCGAGAGCAAAACTCTGTCTCAAAAAAGTAAAATAAAATAAAAATAAAACTCAGGCTGAACTAAACCAGCCCTCTGAGTCAATGTGACTGTAATTAAACCAGATATTCCATAATGAAGTATGCTGATTAATAAATTATTTGATTACCAGGTAAGTATACCTACAATCAATACAACTGCCTGAAAGCTCTGAATTAGAAATGGTGCAATAAAATATAACTGAAAGGTGTTAGGAATTGGTCGTTTTAATTACAGAGAATGATTAATTGGTCGTTCAGATAGTATTGATCTACAACTTATTTAATTCTTTGCTATTTAATTTGTCAGATTTGAATTCAAATAACTGATGATTTGTTCCATGAATGCCAGAGCTGGAAGGGATGGGGATGGCGGAAGAGACAAGACTGGATCATGGACCTGGTGGTTCTGTGCAGAGGCCAAAGCTACTCTCCTTCCCACCTGGCCCTGTGCTGGGCCTAACCTGGAGCCCCCTCCATCCTCTGCCTTATTCACCTCTGGTTCAAGGTCCGGCAGAAACTCCACATCCTCCAGGAAGCCCTGGTGGACTTGGGCAGACCTGGAGACACGTCCAACCTCCTGGCAAGATGGGGGTTACAAGAGTGTGTATAAAGGGGAAGGCAAGAATGTGCCCTTGGTGGAGCAGTGAAAAGAAGCCTTCATGTGACAAGTGCTTTGCTCCTAACCCACCCCCTGTGGTGACATCTTCTAGGTTAACTGCCCTTGCTGATCTCTGCACATAAACCAAGCTAACTGTGGGAGGACTTTTGTTTCTAGTTTAAAGCAAGGAGGACCACAGTTCCTTCCAAACGCTCACCCCCAAGGAGATAAGGAGGGCATCCCATGAGCAACACTGTGTGTTAAAGATGCACATGAGCACTAGGACTCGACCAAGGACAAACACGTTTCCAGGCCCCTCAGACCCTCGCTGCTGCCCAGATGTCCATTGTCATCGGTCACATCCTAACCTCAACCCCCTCCCCTCCTCCCACATAAAAGGAGGCTGAAATTCATAGTAACTTCAGATGGTTCTTTAGGACACTGGCCCACCACCTTCTCAGTTGCTGGCTCTCCAAAACAAAGCCCCCTCCCTTGACCCAACTCCTTGTCTCTTGACGTACTGGCTGTCGTGCAGTGCGTGGTACCGGCTTGAACTCGGTTATGCTGGCACGGCCTCTGGCAGTGTTCAGTGTGTGCGGATGAGTATTTTACAGCTACTGTTCTATTTCTAGTCCCCTTCCTGTGGACGGCTGTGGGATGTGCTGTGGATGCCCTCTCTTAGGCTGGAATAAACCGCCCTACCTTCTCTGCCTTGTCTCCACCAAATAAACTCCTTAAGGCAGGGATAGAGTCTTGCACTCCACAAAGAAGTATTGCTGCGTCCTCAGCTGTGTAAGAGTGACTGGGCTCCTTCTATTCCACCTCTGATGGAACTTTAGGCACGCAGAGAGAGACAGCAAATTTGTGCTAGCTGAAGGGGTCAGCAAATGCATATGAGGCCTCTTGTGCTCCAGAGAGAGAATGGAGTGCAGTCAGTGAGACCCTGATGGGAGATGGAACCAAAAGCCTGGGCAGAAGGGATCGTGGAGGTGCCCGGGGTCAGGAGGGACGGGAAGGGTGAGGAACACAAGAGATCACCTGGAGGCATGAGCGGAGAAGGCAGGCACTGGGGGACGGTGCTGCTGATCCAGGTGGGGCAACATCCTAGGACCCGAGCGCTGGGCAGGTGCATCCGTGGAGAGAGGCTTCTCTCCTCTCTTGGCTCCTGCTGAGAGAGGCATTCATTCCCCTGGGTTGCCCTGCAAGAGACAGGGGCTCTAGGTAGATCTGTGCCATCTAGGGAATGGAATGTGAATATCTAAAGGTTCTAGAGGTCAAGTCTTAGGTTCCCTCTCAGCTCAGAACCCAGTTGGTGTACTCTAGCCCAACCCCCTTCTCTTGTAGATTTCCTACATGGAGAGGCAAATACCTTGCCAGACACCAACAGTCCCTTCTCAGCACTTTTGTGCAAAGGCAACTCAGACCCTAAGAGAATGGGGTCTAATTTGCAGGTGCCACTGGAAGGCAGAGGTCACGGGAGCCCTGAACTTCGGACAAGGTAGAGGGATCCTGGAGACAGCATATCTGGCCCTGGAGCCCTGCCCACCCGGGGAGTGAGGGCAGCTCTCCTGCTCTCCCCTGAGGCCTGCCTGAGGACCCCCATGTCCTCTATGTGTGGGATTCTGCAGTTTGCACTCACAACCCAGAGCCTTTTACCCAACCACCCTGGTTGTAGGAATGTGTTCAAAATAAGCATCAGACAAGTACATGAAGATGAATGTGCAAAGACGTTCATAGCAGGATTGTTTATAATCATGAAAAATGATCTGCAGATTTCCTGTCCGCTGTGCAGGATGAGTTAGACGGGGCTGCATCCATAAAATCACTTTGCCCTCTTTTAAAATTATATCATAGATCTGTGTTTAATGACATAGTAAATGGTACTCAATGCATTAAGTGAAAAAAGCAGCTTATACATCAGGATGTATATGATCAAGTTTTTGTTAAATGGATGCATGTATGCAGGTCAGTAACTGTCTGCGTTTGCAAACAAAAAGTCTAGCAAGATGTGCATCAAATATTAACAATCATTATTTTTGGATAGTGGATTTATTAACATCTATTTTTGACTTTGCCCTTTGTTTTCCTATGTTATCTTTTTTACACTGAGTTTATATTATTATTTTTACAATTAAAATGTCAATCCATCAATCTACCTCCATTTGGGAAGTAGTGAAAAGCAAATCTCACCTGCGTCCATTTCAACCACACAAGGACGACAGGATAGGGAGGAATAGCACTAAGTATGAGTGCCTGTGATTCAGAGAGGGAAGTGACTTGGAATTCTAGGCCAGCTCCTCCACCTTCTCCATCTCTAACTCTTCCACTCTCCCATACTTGCTCCTGGTGCCCCAGCACTCCTGGGTGCCTCCTGTCTTCCCAGCATGCACAATCCAACTGAGCTTATTATTGGTACCCACTTTACACCTGATCTTTCCGCCCTTCACACCTCTTGTCACTCCCAGTCACTCCATCGATTTTTATTTTTTTATTTATTGACTTCATCACCATCTGATTCAATGGTGTCTCTTTGCCTGTTCACTTACAGTTGGCCCTTATTTACTACTGTGGGAAGCTAATGGTGTCTGCTGGAGCCAAATCAGCACATTTATTTATCTATTTATTTAGAGACCGAATCTCACTCTGTCGCCCAGGCTGGACTGCAGTGGCATGATCTTGGCTCACTGCAACTTCTGCCTCCCATGTTCAAGTGATTCTCGTGCCTCAGCCTCCCAAATAGGTGGGACTGCAGGTGTGAGCCACCCCGCCCGGCTAATTTTTGTATTTTTAGTAAAAACGGGCTTTCGCCGTGTTGGCCAGGTTGGTCTCGAACTCCTGACCTCACGTGATCCACCCGCCTCGGCCTCCCAAAGTGTTGGGATTACAGACGTGAGCCACTGAGCCCAGCCTATTTATTATTATTATTTTTTTTTTTTTTTTTGAGACGGGGTCTTGCTCTGTCTCCCAGGGCAGAGTGCAATGGTGCAATCATAGGTCACTGCAGCCTTGAACTCCTGGGCTCAAGCACTCCTCCTGTCTCTGCCTCCCAAATAGCTGGGACTACAGGTGTGTACCACCACACCTGGCTGTAATCAGCACCTTTAAAGAACCTAAAGATGGACTTCTGCCCATCCCACCCCATGAAATCTACATCTGAATATTAGAGAAACTCCAAGGGAGTTCTCAGTTTTCCCATATCTTCTCTGCTCACACCTGTGTCCCCACAGCAGCATACACCTTGTCCCCTGTATGTGCTCAGTGAGTAAGTAACGATCCAATTGATAGATAAGTGGATGCATGTCTCCTGAGTCTTGGGGAAGGAAAGAGAAGACAGAAAAGGCTATATTCAAGAGGAAAGTTTTTAGGCCACTGGGCAGGTACAAACAAGGCCGGGCGTGGTGGCTCACACCTGTAATCCCAGTACTTTGATAGGCTGAGGTGGACAGATCACCTGAGGTCAGGAGTTTAAGACCAGCCTGGCCAACATGGTGAAACCCCATCTCTATCAAAAATACAAAAATTAGTCAGGCGTGGTGGCACGGCCTGTAGTCCCAGCTACCTGGGAAACTGAGGCAGGAGAATCACTTGAACCCGGGAGGCAGAGGTTGCAGTGAGCCGAGATCGCACCACTGAACTCCAGCCTGGGTGACAGAGCGAGACTCTGTTTCAAAAGAAGGCAACAACAACAAAAAACAAGAGTAGATGAGTATCAATGAGAAGAAACCCCCATCCCCAGCAGTTGGTGAGCTGGGAATCACGCCAACAAGGACACTCGGAACAGCCAGGTCAGAGAGCAGCGGCCCCTGGTGATGGCCTGGCCCGCCTAGACAGTGAATGCCATTTTCTAAACCTGGTGAGATGATAACCTTTTAACCTGCTAAGTAAAGCTATTTTTAAACTTGGAGGGGCAAAAAATAATCTTTCCCCAGGTGAAACCGTAACAGTCACTTAGAGCACAATGGATCTTTATTTTTTATGACCAAGTTATAAATTGTTGAAAATAAGAGTTTCAAATGGAAATGTTGACATAATAATCTTATCTATAGCAGCATGAATAACCAACCATAACCGTTATTATTCTGTCTCCTATGAAGGTTGGCTTTTTTGAAAGTTCAACTTGCTCAGTATGTTTGCCTTTTAACATGAGTTAAGAGGTAATTTGCATGAACACAAATAAAGAAGTATCAATTCAGTGGCATTATGAATTAATTAGCTGCAGCCCACCATCATGAATTGGGAAATGCAACCACACTTTCCATCTCTTTTCTTTATAGCCCACTCTTGCTACGTTACACCTTTTCAGATATTAAGTACCGAACATGGTTGCTTCTTAAAAAGGTTAATTATCCAAGACAGGTTTATGGTACCTTATCTAAAGGCCACATATTCTACTTCTTTGGCATCTTGGATTTACATAATTACAATCAGTGGAAAGTTAGTCGGTCAGATTTCCTTTCCCACCACTCCCCAGCAGGCACCTTTCTCCTCTTGAGATCTACCAGTACTGGGGATCTCCACCAGCTGGTCTTTGTTTCTTACTCCGGCAAAGCAACATCAACAGCTTGCAACAGCCAAGTTTCCTCGCCTTAAATGTGAGGAATGACCACATGAGCAAGGCAGGCTGAATCCAGTCCAAAGCCTGCAGCACCTGGAGCAGAGCTCACCAGTGGAGGCTGTGGGCAAAATCAGGCCCACAGTCATGGTTTTTTTGGCCTATGAAGTGTTAAAAAATGGGATTGTGTGCCTATAATCCTAGCTACTCAGGAGGCTGAGACAGGAGGATCACTTGAGACCAGGAGTCTGGCTATGTTGCCCAGTCTGGTCAACATAGCCAGACTCCATCTCTACAAAACAAAATTTTTTTAAAAATTAGCCAGGCGTGGTGGTGTGGATCTGTAATCCCAGCTACTTGGGAGGCTGAGGCAGGAGAATCGGTTGAGCCTGTGAGATCAAGGCTGCAGTGAGCTATAATTGTACCACTGCACTCCAGCCTGGGTGACAGAGCAAGACTTTGTCTCAAAAAAAAAAAGGAATTGTCAACCAGTATTTGAAAATTTGGAGGTTACACACACACACACACACACACAAGCACGCACACACCACACAGACAATCACACTGTCAGACCATATCAGGCACGCTCCCAGGCGGCAACCATGAGGAGCGGTGTGGAGGCCCCAGTTTAGACAGGGCCTGAGTTCTGCAGCTTCCCCGCGGTTGTTCCCAGCTCCCGTGGTCTTCCAAAACCTGAAGCTGAGTGCTGGTTGTGATTTATCCCCCAATATTGGGTGTGTTGAAAACTGTATGGTACCTGCCTGGCCCTTGTAACTGGAGGAGACATTTACACGCAGGCAGGGCTGCACCCGGGGTAGGGAGGGACAGGGAGGGAGAGGAGGGCAAGACATCACATGAGGCATGGGAAGAGAAGGCAGGCCCCAGGGTTGACGCCCCCGATCCAGGTAGAGTGAGCATGCCTGGCACCTAAGTGCTGGGCAGATGCATCTGTAGAGGGAAAATTTGCTCCAGCCTTGGCTACTACAGGGAGAGAGGCAGGAGGACGCCCCCCTGGGAGGCGCTCCAGGGGACCGGGGTGCAAATCCAAGCCCTGCAAAGCCAAGAACGTAGGCTTCCAGCACTCTATTCAACCACCCGCAGACAGTGTGCAAGGTGAGCAAGACAGAAGGCAGGACTGCAGGAAGCAAGCAAGGAGGTGATACAGCCAGCGCCTGGAGCTGGGAGTGAGAGCTGCTCATGTGCATGATCAGTGAGGGCCTCTCTGTGACAACAGCAGGGGAGCGGAGACCAGAACAAGGTAGCCCAGGAAGGGCCGGGGTAGATGTTCAAAGGCCCTCATATGGGCGTAAAGGCGGTACCTCCTAGGCTCTTTGGAGACACTGGGGTGATGGGTGTTAGTGAGCTAGCCTGAGGTGAGAGGGGAAAGCCTGCAAGAGTGTGATCAGCTAGTGTTTTTCTCTTTCTCTTTTTCTTTTCTTTACTTCTTTTTTTTTTAGAAACAGGTTCTCGCTGTATTGTCCAGGCTGGAGTGCAGTGGCTGTTCACAGGCGCCATCCCACCACTGATCAGCAAGGGAATTTTCACCTTCTCTGTTTCCAGCCTGGTCAGATTCATCCCTCCTTAGGCAACCTGAGGGTTCTGCACTCCTGAGAGGTCACTACATAGGGGCTAAACTTAGGACAGACACCCGACTGGCACAGCGCATTACGGCCCCGAACTTCTGGGCTCAAGCCGTCCTCCCACCTTGCCTCCCGCATAGCTGGGACTACAGCATGCACCACTGCACCCAGCAAGGGCAATGTTTTTGAACTGTGAGTGAGGACCCATTATTAGATCATAAGATGCATTCATTGGATCTTAATCAGTATTTAAAAAATAAAATGAAATAAATACATCATAAAACAGCATAGGATAGTGGAGAAAATACAAATGCATTGCCCGTAGGAAGGGTGAACTTGCTTTGTGAGCCTTTGTTTCAGTTTTACGTATGCACATGCACACACACTGGGTCTGGACTTCGAGTGTCAGGCTGCAGACGCCTTTACCTTGCTGAGGCCCCCAGCTGCCCACCCGAAGGAAATCAGATAAGTGAAACTGATGCGATGTGATCCTTTAAAAGTCAGGCGGAACAGTCAGGAGGCCCTGAGTTGAACATTGCTAGCAGCAAGGTCACAACTGCCAGAACAGCCAAGGCCACTCCTGCTCAGCACAGAGAAGGCAGCCAAACAGATTTCTTGGAGCAGCTGCCAACAGAGTCTGCCCAGTGTGAGGGAGAAAGAGCCCCACATGTGGAGCACCTGCCAGGCGCCAGGCACTGCACATCCGACCTCTGGGTGAGCTGTGCTCCAAGGGCCAAGTCCATGTCAGTGTTGCCATAAGGGATGCTCCAGGCCCAGCAGGCAGTGCGTGCCCCCACCCCCGCCCACCCCCATGAGCTGAGTGTTTCTGGTCCTCACAACAGCCCTGCAAGGCAGATCTTATGATCTTTGTGTCAGGGGTGAAAAAATCAGGCACAGTGTTCAGTGATTAGCTGAAGGGGCAGAGCCAGAATTCAAACCCAAGTGAGCCTGACACCAGGGCCTAGGTTTTCTCTTCCATGACACAGCTCTCACAACACTGAGAGTTGGAGGAGGCACAGGTCCTCTCCTGGGGCTTCCAGAA